TTCAGGCGCTTTGGAGAATAGCTTGACTCCCTCTTCTTTGTGGCAGCCCCTGAGATATTGGAACACTGCTATCATGTCCCCCCTCGTCCTTCTCTTCGTTAAACTAGACATACCCAATTCCAGCAACCGTTCCTTATATGTTTTAGCCTCCAGTCCCCTAATCATCTTTGTTGCTCTTCTCTGTACTCTTTCTAGAGTCACAACATCTTTTTTACATCGCGGTGACCAAAACTGGATGCAGTATTCCAAGTGTGGCCTTACCAAGGCATTGTAAAGTGGTATTAATACTTCACGTGATCTTGATTCTATCCCTCTGTTAATGCAACCTAGCACTATTGTTTAAACTAGTACAAAAGAGAGGAAATTTTCCAAATATTGACAAGGCCTGAAGATGACGTATGATTGTAAGACCAAGACAATTATTGAAGGAAGACGAACCATTATATTTTGTTCCACTTGTAACCCTTTTTCCCAAGTACCTTCACTAAATGTACTGTTTAATGCTATGATAACATATTTTGGAGTCAGTGTTTATTCCTGACGATTGCCTGCAGAAATTCCTAATGTTTTCCTGGCAATGTTTTTTTTTTGGAAGTGCTTTACCATTTCCTTCTTCCTAGGGCTGAAAGTGAGTGGCCCAAAGTCACCTAGTTGGCTTCATGCCTAAGGTGGGGCTAGAACTCCCAGTCTTCTGTTTTTTTTAGTCTGGCATCTTAACCACTCCACCAAAATGGCAGGGAAACATTTTATTCAGATTCCCACTGAAGATGCAGAGGCAATTGTTTGCTTTGATTCTTCTGATTAAACCAAGGAAGGACTGCTTAAGATCAGAGGCTAGACAAGATGTCTGGACTGATATTCACATCAGGAAGTATGTTCTCAAAAATATCTTGGATTATGAAGCCGTATCCCAAGCATCAAAGTATCTTGTGGCAGTGGACCAATGGGTTGAGCCTGATTCACAATTCCTCTTAGGGGTCTTCAAACTTGGCCCTTTTATGGCTTGTGGCTTGTGGACTTCAACTCCTAGGCATGCTGGCTGAGGAATTCTGGGATTTGAAGTCCATAAGTCATAAAAGGGCCAAGTTTGAAGACCCCCGCTCTTAGTCTTCCCAGAAACTCAGCCTGTTTGCTCTCCATTATAGCTTCTGTTTGCCTCTGCATATGAGACACATTTCCAAACAAACATATTAAGCCCATGGGGCTTAAATAAAATCTGAAAGCATTAATGTAAATGAGAATGGTGCTGGAGGTTTGGCCTTTTGCTTTGCATGCTTTTTTCCTTGTTTTTTTTTTTCTTTTTTAAAAATAAAGACAGGTGAGTGACATCCAAGAGAACATGTAACATTATAGGAGCTCTGTTCATTTATGGAAGCGAGAATTCAGAGGAATCTGGTGGCATCTTTTCTGACTAACAAATTACTAAAAAGGTATAAGCTTTAATGAGCTAAAGCTCACTCATTTCATCAGAGACATAGCTCACTCCTTTCAACTCTCTTCAGACTTCTTCCTGTCCCCATGTGATCGTTTTTATTTTGTAATCCTTGTGCTATAATATGTAGAATAATGATATGTGGACCTTTCCCAAATATCCCCAGCCTTGTGTCATTGTTTTTTTGTGTTACATGCAAAACTTGAGTTTCAAACTTCTGTAGGCAGAGCCTTATTTCAAAAGGCTATTGAAATAAGGGTAGGCTTATGTTATTAAATACAGCTGACTGCCATCTTGTGGTATCCAGCTGAAGCTTTCCCACAACATCATTTTAATGTCACTTTATCTATCTACCCTTGAATGTATTATTTTCACATTCTGAATAAATTGCCAAAATATTTACCAGGAGTCATTAAAAAAAACAAAACAGTAGTTGGATTGACAGCTGGCATGAACTTTTTACTTTCATAAAAATGTTATAGTTCTGAAACTCAGGAATTGCGATGCTGTTCAACAAGTTGTTTCTTCTGTACTCTTTGTGAACCTGTTAATCTGGAGTAGGCAGATCTAATGTGAGATCTCTGACTGGTAGAAGATTGTAATTGACTTAAAAAGACTGTCTTGGATGGCCTTCTGCTGGTCATTCATCTTTCAACAAGAGTATTTCTCATTTGTAGATATGGGGAATTGGTTGCCCTTGACTAAGTTTATAGCTTAATGTATACTAACATATGCAGGCTCAGGAGAGAGGGTGTCATCTTCCTGCCCCTGTTCATACTGGGATTTGTTCCCAGTCATCATTTTGTAGTTTGCATATGATGGTTAGACAAAGAACTAAAAAGTTCCTCAAGCAGAATTTAACTCCTGTAGGTAGGTAGATAGGTAGGTATGTAATTTTCTTGGCATATTGTCATTGCCTTTTTTCAAGATGTGTTTTCAAATTGTCCAGTCTAACCTATAACCCTGTAACTTCTTGGGGTTTCTCCTCCCTTCCACCCAGGTCCAGATCTGCTTAGCTTTCTCAAGAGCTGTGGGTTATAATAAAAGAAAAACTACAAACCTGAAAA